CCAGGGACAGAAAAAAAGTCACGTGGGATTTAACGGGAGGAATGAGTTATTCTTTTGAACACCAAGGCATTAAAAATACACACACAATAGCCTGTGTGCATGCCATTATGAGAACATCTTGTCAGTTTTGGCTGTCTTCAGTCCAAATATTAATTATTGATATGATCGTGTTACGGTACACGTTCAGGTAAACTAAACATTTCGGCTATATATATATATAGTTAATTAGTGGTATCGTTACAAGCTGTTATGTCGCAACCTTATCAAAACGGTTTAATTCCAACACTGGAGAAAGGAGTGTCAGACAATGACGATGTATGTCCTGTTAACCTGAGTCCTAGTTATACATCATCTTACGTCCCCCAGTGTACCGCGAGCCTTTCGTTGTTTCCTTGTTATTTCAGAACATTTACAATATTTTCACCTTTTTTTTTATTGAATCCGTGAACAATTTCTTTAAGTGTATTTATTACATTTTTCTAGCGAAATATTTGGAATTCATCAATTTGATAAAGACTGATATCATTACTGCAGTGATAATATAGGAAATCTTGTATCTGCTAGTGATGATAAAACTTTCGTAGTTTTGACCAATCAGAACGCTGCTTTCTAGCCACTGCGTTGAAATTCATCCAAATACTGCATTTTAATGCAGTTAGAAGACTGGACCGGTTTCACGCCTTTCGGCTGTTTCCGTGTCAGAGGCAATGTATTGCTCGTTCACGGAAAGTGACGAAAGTTCCCGAGCCGTAAACCGAAAATCAGGTACAATTGAGAACGAATGTGGTCTTATCTTGAATGGTTAAAATTCTATTTATTTTTCAACGAATTTTTGGCAACATGCATTTCAAACTATTAACAAATACGTATGGATTATTGGAGACATTCAGTAGGATTTTATTTCAACATGAAAGCTTATTTATATCAATATCTTTTAATCCTTTCCGACCCGGCAGTTGTCATTGTGTCCTGCGGTAAGTGTATTGCTGGTAGTGAAGTTCCAAACAGACTTCTGTTTAAAGTTGATGGACAGCTTGTTGGTTTTGAAATAACACACACAATACCATAAAGCGCTGAGTGTGCTCGTTATCAATATTGGAAATATTGTTGAGAAGGAAAGAAGGCGAGAGAAGAAGGGAAAGGTAGAAATTTTGGTTGTTTAGGGGGTCTACTAACTAGTTTTGAACCTTTTTGTTTATTAGATAAAGGAAATTATGATAAGTATAATATGAATTATGGTTAAACCATTAAGTGTGAGCATAATCACTGATGTATTTCATTCCAATAAACAAATGTGAATAAATATATATTTAGCCTTAAGTTTTAGGAACTCTTCATTCATCTAATACTGGATTCATTGTGTTCCTAACTAGATTAACTCTCATCGTGTTTTCTCTGTAGGTTTGCTGGGTAAGATACTTATCGCTTACGGTTTCGTTCAGTCAGACTTCTGTTGTCTGCACTCATGATGAAGCGTTTTGGTGACCGAGACTATTTGTTGATATGTCCACCATGTTGCTTTCCGCCATTGGCGTAAAACATTACTGGAAATTCCACTTCCGTGTTACAACTTCATGACTGATAGTATTTGTGAAAATTTGTACTTTATTTTTCGTGTTATCTTAAGGGCTTGCTTCGCGAGACTCGTTATTATGTTTTGGGTTTGCTTCGCAAGCAGGCTCGAGGTATACACGCTAGTTCGAGATCTTCCCAAAGAAGTATATTGGCATGGAAAACTGACTGGATATCAGTGTCCGATGGAGAATTTATAGGTCATTGGGTCATCATGACCTATAGCCATTGTTCGTTGTCGTCCGCCGTGCGCTGTGCGTAAACTGTTGACATTTCAAACTTTTTCCTACCAGTGGGATTAAGCTCAAACTTGCATGAAATTATCCTGAGATGGTCCTGGCTAAGTGTTGTTATTTTTTGGGTATGTTTGAAGTCCAAGATGGACGCTATGACCGCTATGGTCGCCATCTTCATAAACATATTTTAAGTTTCTTCTTAAGTTTCACAGGTGCCATTTAGCTAAAATTAGTGGAAATGTTAAGGAAAGGTAACCAACAAAGTGTATTTCGACCGTGTCAAAACTCCGAAACGGCAGCCAGTGAGGCCATTTTGTAACATTGTGCAATCATTATTTTCCTGTGCCTATTTCAAACTTCTTCTCAAGTTCCGTGCATTTTCCCACTTTCTCCTGTCAGTCATTCGGGTCCTTCTTTTAATTCTCGCCACTACTGTGCCGGAGTAAGGAGAGACATCCAACTTTACTTAACATTTTATTTTAAGGAGGGAAAGAGAGAGAAGGAAAGCGATAACAAAATCAGTTAGAGTTAAGTATATATTGCAGAGTGATTTGACATATGTATACATTATCTTCATTCGAGTAGTTATCACTACCGTGTAGTAGCAACTCGGGTCTAGTGGGATAAACTCATTTCGTCCCGGTATACTCTCTGATCTGCATTATTACAAGCGAAGAAGTAGTGGTAAGTGTCTACGAGAGGATGTCTGCTTTGGCAGTGACAGTAATCTATTAAATTGGATCTGAAAAGAGCATTGTTTAAAGTACTATAATTATTTCTTAGTCGAGCATGGAATATATTAGCTTTCCGATTACTAAATGAAGTTGGAACTAGTAGGAGGATTCGAATAGAATTTAAAAAAAAAACTGAAAAGAAACACTTTGTCTTATTTCAAGGTTATAGATTTGTATTTACAGGTTACTTACCTGTTTGGATGCATTATAACATATGTTTTCTACGTGTCTACCCGATTTAAAATTTTTATCTAAAATCACTCCTAGATGCTTATGATGACCAACAAAATCAACACTCACATTATTAAATTGGATATCAATGACATGATCATGTTCAATGTTTTAAAAAGGAATATTAATGCTGATCAGGAAGTTATATGTTTTACAGATTTATCGAGTTTGATCAATAAGCTAACTGTGAAAGAATAGTAGAGAGTTAAATTTCTGCGTCTAGAGGTACAGAGCCTCACTAGAGGCTACAGACGAGAGACCTGTTACAAGTCTAGTGGCTTCTAATTGGAACCTTTCAGGGCGTTTGACAGTTCATCAGAACAACCATCCCAGATACAGGAGGCATATTCTAGAGTTGAGTTGGGTTTTCCTTTGAAGTGTAATTAAAAAAAAGCGTAATTGTGTCTCGTTAAATTTCATATATATTTCACTCGCACGACAGAATATATCGATATTTATCATGAGTACGGTATATATTCTGTTATACTTGTGATCTAAATATATGTGATATTAAATGGAAATTAAAAAGATAAATTTCCTCTATTTCTCGTATCAAATCATGTTATTTATTCTAAACTCCATCAATGACTTTTCATTTCGCCACTGTATATGACACCCCTTATTTTATCCAAGCTGATAAAATCGTTAAATTTAATTTTTTCTAAATGTTTTAGAAACTTTAAAACAAAGCAAAACAATGCTCTATAGATGTAGCATGTCATTTGTTTGTTCAATGAAAATATTTTTCCACGTTCCACAAATCTCTAATTTGCCCGGATGACGGTTAATGACGTCAAGGACTCTCCCAGAGTGCTTTGCGGTACCCCAATAACACCGTCGTAAACGGTTCACTTCTATGCATTGGTAATCCGTGAGCAGTTTACATATGTTTAGTGTTAGGGACAACTGTGATAGAGACTGATGTATTTTGACGTTTAAGGAACGACAACTGTGGTAGAGACTGGTTTAGATTAATTGTTAAGGAACGACAACTGTGGTAGAGACTGGTTTAGATTAATTGTTAAGGAACGACAGCTGTGGTAGAGACTGATGTAGTTTGACCGTTAAGGAACGACAACCGTAGTAGAAATTGATGTAGTTTGACTGTTAAGGAACGACAACTGTGGTAGAGAATGATGTAGTTTGACTGTTAAGGAACGACAATTGTGGTAGAGATTGGTGTAGTTTGACTGTTAAGGAACGACAACTAAAGTAGAGACTGATGTAGTTTGACTGTTAAGGAACGGCAACTGTGGCAGAGATTGGTGTATTTTAACTGGTAAGGAACGACAACTGTGGCAGAGATTGGTATATTTTGACTGTTAAGGAACAACAGCTGTAGTAGTGATTAGCCGGACACGCCTTGAAAATGACGCCAGGACCAATATTTCGTCCCAATAAGGTCGCCTTAATTTAAATGTTACTGGTGTTGCGTTTCAAAATATCTGAAATTAAGCAAATAACGGACCTCAGTTATCAACGTGTGTTTGCTTGTTTAAGTCTGTAGGAATATGCGATGGTATAACCACGATATAGCGCAACAAAATTCGGAGACTGTAGAATTATCCCTTAAGTGATATATATTGCTGAAATAATCCGATAATACTTGGTTTCCGAAGTTCCCTGTAGTACATCGACGTCAGCATCAGAAGCTACAAACTCTCTGCTAGCGAGTGCTATCTCATGTGGTTCTGGGGTAACCTTGACATGTGATGAAGTGGAATATGAATTAAATTGAACATAGAATGAATCATTTTTTACGATTGGTTTGAAAAACGACACTTGCTCATCGACCAGATATGGCGCTCCACGAGGAGCAGCCATTTGCATATATTTCATTCTTCATGGGATATCTTTATATGATATTTAAAACATAGAGGACAGTGCTTGAATAAACAACTAATCAATACTGATATTGCATCAGTTTTTTCGTAGGGATGAAAATAGATTATATGCTCAAAGTCTTCAAATATAAGCTGTATTTTGGCGAAGGTGAACAAAGACGAAGGTGATTAGCTACAATTGTCTTTCTACCGAGAGCCAAAACGCAGCTTACATTTTGAGATAAATCTGTGTTGTAGGTGATATTAACTTGTATGCTTTTGACGATCAATGCAGTGTCTGTGTCTCTCTTGACTATCTTTTTATCAACCTACAGACTAAGCAGAGAATTACCATTACGTTGTATTTTTATTTGATGTTAATCTAAGTGTTTGTTATTTTCCAGGTGTTCAGCTATTTTTACCTTGGGATTGTGGTGTTGTCTGGGATACTGTTTTGTTGTGGGACGCACCCGGACTTCTTGCAAACGACTTGCGTTCCAACCAACGAGACTGATTTTGGCTTCCTAAACCCAGAAAACCCTAAAGAAGTGCTGCTTCTTACAACACGCCCTACGTTTGCTCTGGAAGTCGGGGGATGGTTTGTTCTTATTTTCTTTTCAATAGAATTTTTGATCCATTTTTTTCTTTGTCCTGTTAAAAGCGAATTTTTCAAGAGCGGCTTGAATGTTTTGGATGGTATTCTTTTCGTTTGTATGTGGATGGTGTTTTCTTTCGAGTTCCACAGTGATATTGTTTACTCAAATCGCCATCTTGGAATGTTTTACCTCGTTCTGAAGTCGATGATGATTCTGCGGTTGTTCAGGCTGCTGCGTCTGGTGAAGCAATACAGCGCTCTGCGCATCCTCACAGTGTCCCTCGTGGCTAGCCTCAAGGAACTTGGACTCCTACTCATTACCTTCCTCATGGCTTCCGTGTTTTTCGCAAGTTTCATATATTTCGCTGAATTTGAAGAACCCTCCACCTTTCCTCACATTTTCATTGGAATTTGGTGGTCTGTGGTTACTATGACAACTGTTGGATATGGAGACACTTTTCCAAAATCAACACCTGGCCACCTTGTTGGTTCCGCATGTGCGATATGTGGTGTACTAATTCTATCTATGCCTATTGCAATCGTTGCAACGAAGTTTAGCAATTTCAACGACAGAAATGCAGAGCGTGAGCGGAGTAAAAACTTGAAATCTGCCGACCCATACACGCCTCGGGAATCTCCGAACACCAGCAAACTATTCCTGACTAAAGTGTCTTCTGTCCTCGAAGTGAAACAGTCTCCGACGTAGGGGCCGCTGCACACTACAAGAACACGTGATAATTGGCCTCAAAAATGCTTCCGAAAACGTGAAATCGTTTGCAATCAAATATTTGTAATATTGGACGTTGCTCACATGTTACGTGACCGTAACTAATGTTTAATGTTAAAACTGAATACAGAAATTTAGGTTCTAATAGTTGGATATATCAAAACAGTTGTGATAATTGAAGCATGCACATCAGGTTAATACTTGTACTTCCGTAGTGTAACCATGCAAATGTTGTCAAAATAACATTAGTATAGACCTTATTTACTCAAAATAAGGTAAGGGGTACCACAAAAATGTTATTTGCATAAAAAAATCAACGTTTGGGTTTGCTTGGAGTTATCTCCTCTGTACCTTCCGTTAGATAGTTGTGTAACATTTTATTGATTTTCTCATCTGTATATTCTATTTTATTTCAAAATTCTAAAATATCTTTAATCTATTAAAAAATCAATAAATCAAATGCATTTAGACATTTCACGATAGCAATAGTGGTATTAACACGTTTGCTACATGGTGCCCTTTACCTTAAGAAGTTTAAGTATTAAGTAAGATTACAAAGTCCAATAATCTATATTCTTTAGGTAAAACAACGAAAAATGATCCAGTAAATGTACGACAAAATGGCGTTATTGCAAGTGACTTTAAGAATTCAAATGATAATCTTTTCATGAATGTACTATTTGATCCGGGACGTACTGCCTACTCCGGAAAGTACAATCTGCTCCGAATAGTATAATGATATATGAGAAGCAGTTTACTCCGGACATATTCTGAAACGTACTGTCTTCTCTGTTAAGTACTGTCATCGTCGGAAAATATTCCGGAAAGTGTCTTCTTCTCCGAAATTATACAGTCTACTCCAGAATGTACTACATTGTATATGTTCCGGAAAGTACTGTCTCCTTCGGAAAGTATTGTCTGCTCCAGAAAATATCATCTACTCTGGCAAATACTATCCACTTCGGAAAATATTATTCCTTCGAAAAGTACTTTTGCTCCTGAAAGAACTACCCTCTCCAGAAAGTACAATCTCCTTCGGAAAGTATTTCTACTTCGGAAGATACTACCCATTCCGATATATACATTCTTCTCCGGAAAGTGTTTCTATTCTGGAAATTAAGTATTGTCTACTCAGGATAGTACTTCTACTTCGGAACGTATAGTCTGATACGGACAGTGCTGTTTACTGACATGTGACAATCAGACTGGAGGATTTTTTTTCAGATTTTTGCATGTGATTTTTTTTTATATCGAACACATTTTCGCTTTAGAATGTTATGAGTGAGAGAGAACTAAATTACTTGTTTAGTAAAGGATAGACAGTAGTTTCGTCGTCAGCACATAGTTACGTTTTAACTATATTTAAACATAGTTACGTTTTAACTATATTTATACATAGTTACATTTTAACTATATTCAAACATAGTTACATTTTAACTCTATCTAAACATAGTTACATTTTAACTGTATTTAAACAGAGTTACATTTTAACTGTATTCAAACATAGTTACACTTTAACTATATTTATACATAGTTTCATTTTAATAATATTTAAACAGAGTTACATTTTAACTATATTTAAACATAGTTACATTTTAACTATATTAAAACATAAAATGCATTTTTACAAGTATTTATAGACGACATGAGATTTGTTAATACTTCTACTTTCGTTTAGTTTTCTAAACAATAAAATGATATTCTATTGATTGAATGTGACAAACATCACAATTAGAACAAAACTTCCCTGTGCTATAAACTTTACTGATTTTTTAAGTCGTTCCTACAGGCCCCGTGTTTCATTTAAAACAAAAATCTCACAGGCGCCTTCCCTGAGAATCCAAGAAATAAACCATTGATCTGAATGTTAGATAGTGGTTCCGTACTTGGATTGAACCACTGATCTTAATACCGCCCTTTAAATTGATCGCATGTCTGAGTACCAGATGATGCAATGTCTGGGCGAACTATACTGTAGTTGCGTTGTAGGACTTGGTTAATGCTCGTGGCTATAGACCATTGAATCAGTAGTGGTACCGTCAATACTGGACCAAAATTGAATCCAATGGCCGTGGTACTGTTATTAGACTGCACCAATGATTATGCTTATGGCACCGTTATAGAACTGGGCTCGTGATTAAAGTGCCATCATCGCAAATGATCGTGGTACCGACATGAAAGATGACAGATAATCGTGGTACCGTTATAGGACTGGGCTCGTGATTATAGTGTCATCATCGCCAATGGTCGTGGTACCGACATGAAAGAGGACAGACAATCTTGGTACCGTTATAGGACTGGGTTCGTGATTATAGTGTCATCATCGCCAATGATCGTGGTACCGACATGAAAGAGCACAGATAATCGTGGTACCGTTATAGGACTAAATTAATTATCGTAGTTGTAACACCGTCATAAGGCTAATAAGACATGTGAGCTCAGTGTAATACGTCGGTAGCGTTATGCTGGCTTGCATGCAATACGTCAGTAATTTTATGTCGGCTTGGTGTAATACGTCACTAACGTTATGTCGGCTTGGGGTTACGTTATTTCGGCTTAGAGTAATGCGTCGGTATAGTTATGTCGGTTTGGTGTCATGCGTAGGTTACGTTATGGTGTCGTCTGTCGGTAACGTTATGCTGGCTTGGTGTAATACGTCAGTATCGGTATATCGGCTTGGTGTAATACGTCTCTCACGTTTGTCAGCTTGGGGTAACGCATCAGTAACGTTATGTGTGCTTGGTGTCATGCGTAGGTTACCTTATTTCGGCTTAGAGTAACGCGTCGGTATTGTTATATCGGCTTGGTGTAATGTTTCTGTAACGTCATGTCGGCTTGGTGTAATGTTTCTGTAACGTCATGTCGGCTTGGTGTAATGTTTCTGTAACGTCATATCGGCTTGGTGTCACGCTTCTCTCACGCAATGTCGGCTTGGTGTCATGCGTCGGTGACGTAATATCGGCTTGGTGTAATGCTTCTGTAACGTCATGTCGGCTTGGTGTAATGCGTTGGTAACGTAATGTCGGTTTGGTGTATTGCGTCGATGACGTTATGTCGGCTTAGCATAGTGCGTCAGTTTTGATATGTCGGTTTGGCGCAGTGCGTCAGTTCATAACGTTGTGCTCCTAAGTGCACCTACAAATTCATTGTGTCGTTCGACCCCCATGTGGTGGTAACATTAATGAGTTAGTCGTGTATGTATATATCGGATTGGTCCAACTAAGCAGTGATAAACAATGTGCCAGAATTACTACGAAAACATAACTAGAATGCCTGACAATGCTCGGTTGTGCGTTTTTATGTCGGAATGTACCGATTGGTTCGCCGCCTTTGACGTGAAGCCAAGTCATCATTACAGGAGCAATATATATGGCCCAGCAATTTTTTGAGAAATAATAGGTTCTTGGAAATGTCAACAGACCTGTGCAGCACAAGCACTTCCCAAACCTAAGTCTGTTCTCCGTTATAGGCGGGAGACCGAATTTATTACAGCACATACGATCGGGGTCTCGCGAGACCATGACGTCAACACGGTCGCGACAGGAGCGCATTGAAGTTAATCTTTCACTGTATCATTATAACTGTGTGGAGACTCCGATAATATTGTAGCTGTAAGTTTTGGTGATTTAGACCGCCGTACGTGATCCGCTTCCTCGGTAAACTCTTGGGTCAATTTTTGAAAGTCTTTTTTTTCTGGAAATATAAGGACGAGCGGCAGACAGCTACAGGAAGGAATCAATATATTGACTATCAGAGCGGAGCTTGAACACGGTTACCAAACCCGTGTAAAGCCAGCACTCAGCGTTCGTACTCAATGGGGCTTTGTTTCATTTTCATCCAAAAGATATATACCTGTAGGAAATGAATATTTGAAAGGGTCAGAAACGAGTTCAAATAAGGAAAAAAAAGCACACACACATACACAGTTGTGACGAGCTAGAGTTACACGTTTAACGATTGGTTCACGTGCTGCGACAGTACATAACATGTAACACTGTTAACAACATGAGTTGAGAGCGATGGTGTAACTTTATCTTGTGTGCACATCACATTCTAACCTCGGCATTCCATCAGACACATTTGCCCAAAACGTCCCGCAAGAGGGCGCAATGCGTTCTATCTAGTTTCTTTTTTAACGATCGGCTGGTGAATTTTGCGTGTTTGACGTATTGCGAGACGGTTGACCACTGTCCATGCCAAAATTATTGTCCATTGGGTATATCTTCGTATTGGTTCTCACAGAAACATGATATTGGCTATCCAGGGCTCTTCACGAACCCCGGACGAGGCACGAACCTCGGTCTGCTATCAGCCATGGTACCACGAATCCGATAGACAAAGTGAAAGTACGACAACCTGGGTTTACCAGGAATGTCCTTAAAACAAGAGAATTGTTAATTTAATTAATAACGGAATAAATTTGCGACACGTGAAACCTAACTAATACGATCGTAGTCGAAATATCCTCACGTGCCTCAGAATATAGCTAAACATGGCGCAGTCATATTGAGAGGACGTGTATTTTGTCGGGTATTACTGCAGACGGTCCAAAATTCCGTCTAAGGCGATCGGGAAAAAAAATACCAAAAACGCTAGATCATGTTCAGGGCTTGTAACGTTCTTCATTTGTGATGTTTTGTCAACTTTGCAACGTGCTCAATTAGACTCACGAAATGCAGAGTTTAATCTAATGACTAGTAACACATTTTGAATATGCAAGTTATCATAAGTGTGGAAGTGATAGATGTTTTACTCAGGAATTGTGAGATGTTCATGTGAATGTTTTAAATGATGGAAAGGGATTGTCCAACATTGAGATCAAAACTGAAAAGTTATGTCTAGATATCCCAATTCTGGTCGTATCTGTTGATAACTAAAGTTTTACTACATATGATATGAAATGTACTGCAGTTTTGATTTCATTAGAGGAGAGTCGCAACGTCATGACGTCATTTCCTGTCTGTATATAATTTCATACC